TAAGATCTGTTTTACCACAAATAAAATTCTTCATACTGTAAGTAATTTCATGATTACTCAGCTGTATTCCCCAGGGGCAGAAATTTGCATAGTGGCTAGCACAGAATTAGTACCAAGTAAGTATTCGTTGAGTGAATAAGTGAGTGGACAGATGGATTGAGAGCTAAGGGGTTAACATTTGGTTTTATGTGTTGGGAGTATAAAGAAGAAACAATTAGCGACACAAATTTAATTTGGAGTTCAAAATTTGAATTAAATTAGTGTCATGATATTCCCCTATGAGTTCCATCATGTAATTTAGATTTCAGGAAAAAAAAGAAGATTCCATCAAATATAGTTTCATCATAAAGGTAAAACTAACAATAATTTCTCTGAGAAATGCCATGATACAAAATCTATATTATTTTGCAAAATTATATCAAGAACTAGAAATAATTATTTATTACTTAATAAATATAAATTATAAATAATAAACATTTATTAATGTTCAATAAATAAATTAACTTAATAAACATTTATTATTTATATTTTCAAAAATTAGCATATTAGCATTACAAGGAAATTAGAGGAAGTTGACCATAATAAACCAAAAAAATACTCCCAAGCAATACTGTTAATGGATTTCTTCCAAAATTTGAGACATTACACATTAATCTAGAAAATTACACTCTTAAATTCAGTGCTTTACACTCTAATTCAACAATTAGCACTCAAATAATTACTTTTGACTTATTAATTTTCACTCAAAATACCACACTAAGCTAATGCAAAAACTCCTCAGTCAAGTCTCTACTGTGTGAATAAAGTTATTCATATAATTCACAAATACTGATACTCGTCAAAGAAAACTATGCTTACCAAATGTATCCTATATTTAACAGCTATGATCCTTTGAGTGTGAACATATTTATATTCATTTTGGTTTCCAGTTAATATTCTTGACTAAAATTAATGTCAATATTTTCAATTCATTAAAAAATCTGGGTTTTAATGTTAATTAAGATGTGTCTCAGAGACACCTAGATTATACTCATATCCATTCATGCAATTCAGAACACATTCATTAAATGTCGCATGTTTGGAGGCATTGTTGTAAGGACTGTGAGGCAGTTGTTCTCAACCTTTATTGGGAATAATTATTATGTATTATGCCTGCTAAATATAAATTTCTGGGCTTTACCCATGGAACTGCTGATTCAATATTTTGGGGTAGAATTCTACAGTCTGCATTTTAAACCAGCATGGGGATAATTCAGATGGAAATTGTATACTCCATGATCAAGGATAGTGCTGTGATATGTGGAAAGATACCTATAAAAAACACCTTTTTATAGGTTTTGCCTGCCTTGCCCTCAAGATCTTACAACCTATTATAGTTAATGTGACTCATATACAAAACCATATTCTTGGGGAGGGGGCATAGGAACTAATAAAAGTTTTGGTGCAACAGGGCTTCTGGGTGGCTCAGTCAGTTGATTGTGCCTCATTTCAGCTCAGGTCATGATTTCAAGGTTGTGGGATCTGGCCGAGTGGGGCTCAGTGCTCAGCATGATGTCTGCTTATTCCCTCTGCCTCTGCTCCTCCCTCCACTTGTTCTTTCTCTAAAATAAATAATTAAATTTTTAAAAAGAAATATGTATCTGCTAAATATCCAGGGTGTTGAAGAAGTCCTTGACTGTATCTTAGAGAATTAATTCAAATACTCCAAATCTAGGAAGACCTGAAATTAATAATAGTAAAAGAAAGAGAATTGGAATTTGTTTTTAAGAACCAACATTTGGTACCTTGGAATTGCCAGTCCCATTCGCTAATGTTTATGCATGTATATTTTAATTGCCCTGCCTCAACTTTCCCAGCCCTATACAGTTGGCTCCAATGGAAGACCCAAACCCAACAGTCCCAGAAGTCGTCCTCGGAGACAGTTTTACAAGGTGGTTTCACCAGCACTTAGAGTTTCAAATCAACTCAGGCTGATAAAGCACAACTCCACATTTAAACAAAGGCTCATGATTCCAGGGCTGATTTCCCCTAGGGTTTTCTCACCCAGAAGACATCTACTTCCTCTTATTCTCTTTTCAACATGTCCAAGCATGAATGGATTATTTCTTCCCATTTTCTACATGATTGTTTTCCTCTGGGACTTGAGAGGAAATGTAAAACAGGTGTTAGCCCACACAGTACACAGTGATGGTTTTATCCCCTTGAACACAACGGGGAAGTCTAACTGGTTCTCAGACAATAATTATATTATCTTGATTCTAACTCTATACAATTAATACCAGCTGTATCAGACATGGTGCAGTCCAAAAAAAACAAACAAAAAAACCCAGGGATTATTCTAGCTATTTTAGAGTTAATACAACACAAGAAATTGATGTATAGATATTTAAAAATTAGTAGAACAAAACAAGATGTTGAAGACCATAGATATTAGTAATTATAAAGAGTAGCTCTCACTCTTAGGGTTGAAGGAAAGAAAGACATAGGATATCCAGAATTGAGAGACTTGAAAGATGAGTTTACTTCTCAGGATGGACAATGGAAGTCTAATGCTTCCTGAATCACATTCAAACCTCTACTAGGGCACCACAATGCTGGGATCAGACTCTCAGTAGCAGCAAAGGCGGCTTGGCACAGGTAGCTTCAAAGGCTAAAACACAGCTGCCTCCATAAGTGCTAAAAGTGTCTAGAGGCACGGGAATGACACTCTGGTGTGGATTAAATGCTTACAAGAACTGGAAACAGGAAGGAAGTTTTCTTCCCCTTCCCCCTCTTAAGAGCCCCTTTTAGTATCTCCCATTGGTAGAAAAGTAACAGGACACTGGCTGGCAAGATAATTTGGGAAAGATAATTTATAGACCTCATGTAACTTGGGAATTTAGTTAAAGGTTTAGAAAATGTAGTTTGCATAATCACAGAACAATTTTTGGAAGGGTGGTCTAGAGCAGAGACACAACAGGTAAAAGACCAGCACAATAGCCATAACAATCTTTTTACATTTGTGAAGCCTGGGTCTTAGGAAAGACAGAACAATTGTGCACTACCACTCGTTTCACTGGGAAATGGGAGACAATAAAAGTGTTTAATCTGGTGGAAAGCAACAGGGTATCCTAAGAAAAAATGAAATTGGCTGTCTGAAATGACAAATAATTAAAAGCTATTGTTTGTTCATAAGCTCCCAATACTGAAATAGCTTCTTCTTCTTAGAAGACCAATTCTCTGCCTAATATGACTTCATGGTGGCTTGGGGTACCGTATCTCAGCAAAGCACCAGACTGTCAGTTTAAAAATATTACTTTAACAGCAGGGCAGACATGGGAAAAATAGAAGCAAAGAGACCATTATGCATTATAAAAACAGTTCAGGCAAGAGATGGGGAGGACCTAAGTTAAGAAAGTGACAATAGGATTAGGAAAAAGACTATATTTAAAAGAAATTGAGCAGGTAAAGACAACGGGACTTTCTAATTGTGGGGAGTGAAGGAAGAAGAGGAACCTTGGCCAACTCCTGAATCTCACACTTGATAGGATATAAATGGTAGTGTGTCCACCAAATGTGGAAGATTAAAACACAGATTTGGGTGAAAATTTGACATGTTTAGTTTGGGGCTCACTGACTACGCAATCTAGGTCTAACTGTTGCATGAATATCACTGGAATTTGTGATATTGTTTGGACACTGGGCCTTCAATATATGGATTTTCCCTTGTAATCCTTTGCAGTTGAGTAAAATCATTATTTCTTAGAGAAATAAAAATGAAAAAAAAAAACGAAGGCATTTTATATTGTCCTACATTATAGAGACTGCTGATTATTTTGCTAGCCTCTTATCTTCTCGTCTTCCCTCAAAAACAGTCTTTCAGGAAGATCAAGCACATCATGAACACATTCTGATATCTGACACATTTGTGCTTTTATAACGCTCTGTCTGGAATGAATTTCATCCCATCTGACCATTTTGATCCTCAATGGACATCAGTACAGATGTAACTTTTAGGATGTTATTCCTGGCTAAATAAATAAATGTGAAATTTATTTTTCTCCCTATTACATGCCCTCTTTGTCTCATATTTTTCCATTTTTTCTTATATTTTTACAATTCAGCTTATTTCCTTACATATCTGTCTCCCTTCCAGACTTTGAGCACCTTAAGTGTATAAAGGTAATATACATATATTTAAAAAAACATACACACTAGAAAGAGCAAGGCAATTTCTTATGACTTATACTGGTAAAATATTAGGTAAATCATGAGATACCTCAAATTGACCTAGTAATAAAATAGGAAAAGGAAGAGAGGCCATTTGCAAAAAAGCAATAACCAATAATAATAATAATAATAAAAAGAAAAAAGTGATGTTCCACTTCAGCAGTCAGTAAAATGCACATAGACACATCCAAGAAAGATCCCCTCAGCTTAGGTAAACTTTGGACAGGCTTCCTCCTGACTCAAAATCTCCGACCTCCGTTTTCTTAGAGCATTTACTTTAAAAAAAAATGCTATTATAAATAGACTATTGGTGACACATGAATTTGAAAAATGCAGTTGTTTTTCACATACATGAAAAACCTATGTATGTCTGTATGCACACACATGTATTATGTCAAGGTCCACAATCGAAGATAAACAAGATCATTACCACTTCCTTAAAACTCGAAATGATCTGGGAGATTCAGGGAAGATACCTTTGCAGCACTGCTGCAGCACTGTCTTTGGAAACTCCTAGATCCACACAAAACAATTAGAGAGGAAAGTCAAAATCATATACTACTTGACAACCAACTCATGAAGTTACCCTCATGAAGCTCAACATGCAAATGCATGATGATATACTAGCAATAGTCATGAAACCTATTGCTGTCAGCATGTCTGCGAAGAAAGCAGTGGGAAGCAACACAACACGTGACAGACCAGAAAACAAAAGAATGCAAAATAGCCAACTGTTATGCGCTGGAATCAGTTTGAAAGACAGCAGAGAATTGGGAGATGTTTTCCCCACTCTAATAGTGAAAGATAAGGCTGACTGGGCTGGAGGCTCTGACTCCAATATCATCTGGCAAGTCTTTCTTACTATTTGGGGGTCCACAAAGAAGAGAAGCTGCTGGAAGTGGAATCAGGAATTACTGAGACAAGATCAATAAAGAGTTAGGAAAGAGAGGATATGAGTAAATGTAGGGGAAGGGACAGAGCCAGAGTATCTCAGAAAAGAAGTCACCATATTTTTTTTTAACACTGAGTGAAAACAATAGGATTGGGAAATCGGTTAATTTAGTAAATCTACCTGAAACATGCCTCCTTTTAAAAATTTAGAAAATTTAAATTCATATAAAGATAAGCATCAGAAAAGGATTAAGGTCAAATCCTATACAAAGTTATTATAACAAAAATAGTATTCTGCTATTATCTCTACAGTGAAAGCACACCAGAATGACAGGCTCAGAAATCAGACCAAAAATTTAACACATCGTTTTCAAAACGAGCTAAAAGACATTAAGAAGAGAATATAAGACACCAAATAAGAACATAAACCAGAATTAGAGAAATTCAGAAATAAGGTTAGAGATTTTGAAAAAAAGAAAAAAAGGAAGAAAAATATCATTTAAAATAGAATCTAGGAATGTAAGAGCGAAGAACACCACTAGTAATACCTTAACAGAAATAGGAAGTGAAAAATGCAGATATTTAAAATGAAAGATACATTTAAAAACAGACCAAAAGTATTGAAGAATGTACTTACTGATAAGCAAATACAATTCAACAAAGGTCTAATAGGTCTTCTTAAAGAAAAGAAAATCAGAACAACAGAACAGAACAATTACTTAAAACTATAACTTAAAATTATCTGCTCAAATATTTGATATTACTTATTTAAAAGATATGTCACCGAAAATGTCAACTCAGAACTACCAACACAAAGCTATATTCTAGCAAAATTACTGTGCCTTAATGAAAACAAGGCATTGGGCACTGAGAGGGTAAAAATATAATATGTGGTTTATCAAGGGTAGAAAATTAGATTGTCAAGATATTTGCCAGCAATGCTTTTTTTCAGAACAGCAATCAGTGCATATTGAAGAGACGCAAGGAAAGAAAATATAATCCAACACTGTTCTATCTAGAAAAATTGACTTTCATGTAAAAGGGTCAGAAACTCTTATCACCAAGTAAGAATTTGTGAAATAGTCTTTAGAAGTTTTTTTTTTAAAGATTTTATTTATTTATTTGACAGAGAGAGATCACAAGCAGGCAGAGAGGCAGTCAGAGAGAGAGGAGGAAGCAGGCTCCCTGCTGAGCAAAGAGCCTGATGCGGGGCTTGATCCCAGGACCCTGAGATCATGACCTGAGCCG